AAAAGCCTCTGATGATTCCAGCTGAGCCAGGTGATCATCAGAGGTTTTTTTTTTACTTTTAAAAGCATTTTTTCGGCCAAAGAGGTTGTAGAAAAAATGCTTTTAAAAATAATTTAAAAAAGCCTCTGATGATTGTGCGGCTCAGCTGGGCAATGGGGGGCGGGCAGGGATTTTTGCTACCGGTTCTCCGAACCACCTGCCTCCATCCCTACCGGATCGGGTGATCCGGTCCAAACCGGGAGCATTTCACCCCTGCTCTTCATAACAATATGCTAATACTATTTTTTTTTTAATTAACTGAAGTTTGTGGAACTGCCTATGTGTGGATATGGCACAGTAATCCATAACAATAGATGCATACCTACCAAAATGAATCCCCAGAAGCGTATCTATAGTACCAAAGAAGCTGGGATATTTGTTTTGGAAATTGCCAAGTTCCACATCCCATCTGATTTTATTTATTGAGGCTTTTTACATTAAATATAAATAACCAGGAAGTCCACATGCTGCAAACTGCCAGCCTCAAGCATAATTTTATTTCCAATAATGTTTTTGGCCCCCGAAGGCATTCTTAGAAAATAAAAGTAGTGGCTAGCTGTCAGAAGTATGTTCCAAAGAGGAGGAGGAGGAGCAGGAGCAGGAGCAGGAGCAGGAGCAGGAGCAGGAGCAGGAGCAGGAGGAAGACAAAGGCAGACTGAAATGGTAAGGGAAAACCCTGTGAGGCAAGAAAAAAAAAACCCAGCAGTTTAACTCCTGGACATTTTTCTTCTTCTAACACATTTATCAGGTTAACCATTTTGTGGAGGGTATCAATAACATATTCTCAAAATTCCAAATATGCCCGCTAGCCTCAAAGGTTTGTAATGTCTGTTCTACGCTAGTCATTTTTATTGTATGAGAAACCTTATACCAAGATCAACCACTATCAATGTTCAACACTGATGTGATAGATGCAATTCACCCCACACACCCCATCAATTGATTATTAATATTGATGGTTACATCAATGCATAGTTTTCACCACAGCACGAGCATAAAGCATTATGTCCAAGGAATTTGTTGGGCTTCCTTACCCTTCAGCCATAATATTTTGTACAAGGATGTCTGAACTAAATTTTTCATGGATGGGTTGGTTTTGTTTTTAGCATATAGCCCGTGTTTGAAAGCTAGTCTGTACATATCCCTTTTGATATACCTTACAGTGAATGATTGAGACTTCAAAAACAAAGTTTAGTTTGTCGTAATAGCCCAGAAAATCTTAATCTAAAACAGATGTACTATAGGATTTCAGTGCAGTATGTCACTGTGTGCTGGTAATATTAGCATGTGAGAAGCCACATTTGCCAAGCAATAGATCACATGAAGTTAATAAGCATCACTACAATGAATCCAACCTTTTCTCTCCCCAACCACCAAACCTCTTTTTTGGGGAAAAACAAGAGCGGAGCTGTGTTGCTTTGAATTTGACTTCCCCCACTGTTGTATTTTATACCTGTATGCTAGAATCACCTGGAATACATCCAATCAGGTCATTTCAGCAATTGACAGGTTATTCAACTGTCCTTCTCTAGCAATCATTTAGCTATTTTAAAATTCCATATGTGAAAGAGAGAGATATCTTTAAATAATTTGGCAAACAGTCAAAATTCTGACATTTCTTCATACCACAGTGGCCTCCCTACAAGCTATACTGGCAGGAATTTCTTCAAGGTTCAAGAGATGCTAAGTATTAGATAATTAATCCTGGGTTTCACCATGATTGGCTATTTCTGAACTTCTTTCTGCTTGAATTGTTAATAAGCAGACTCATCGGAAAAACAGAATAAATTCTGTTCTTTGGGCTAGCTGCAGGATGATTTTAATCATATACCAGACTCTGGACCTCCTTGCTTTTTAATGGTTTGCAAATCAGGCAAAATCCAAGATGAATTTGCAAGATGAATTAAAAGTAATTTAAGAATAGTTATGTCTATAAAAAGCATAAATGTGAAGGTACAAAACTCCAACAAACCTTCAAATCAGTGCAAAGTTAGCCAATTTGATTAGATAGATGCATTAAAACAATTTAAAAACTGATTTGAAGGAATGGGTCAAAATAATCATCAGTGAATGTAAGCTTTGCATAGTTCTTATGTTTATCTCATTTTTAAGGAGTATAAAGGAGAGATCTGGAGGACACAGTATAATAATCTAAGCTCATTAATTTTCAGAGTTGAGAATTAAGGATAAGTATAGATTGTGCAACGAAAATCTTATCAACTATACAGCATGATTAACAATTTGGCCTATTTTATAAGTCCATTTGTCACAAGCATAAACATGGAAAGAGAACAAAAGTCTGGAAATCTCATTTTAAAGACCCTTCTGCTTTTGCAAAAAGCCAGGATGTATTGTAGACTACCCACTGGAGATTCTTCTCTGTGCAAGTCTAGGTCTGTACTTAAATAGTAATATAAATATTGAGTTGCAACTAAACCGTAGAGAAGGATGGATCTGATCCATTTGTCTCAAATTAGATAACATTCTGGCTATACTATATCGCTATTTACCTAGCCATATCTCTTTAAATAGCTTTGTTAAAAAGGGATTCGTTTTCTTAAAAAGCAATTCAGAAAATAAAAAGCCATAGATAAAATATGAAAGAAATGCAGTGAAAAAATAAAACCTCTCCACAAGCATGCCAGAAATGGAAAATGAGAGTAACAGGAGAAGATAAGTAAGCATGGAGGTGGGGGAATCTGAAAATGTTTTGGAAACATTTGAAATCCCTAATTACAAACTTGTGAAGTCATTTAATATGTACAAAATTTGTGGCTTGTGAAATTCAGAACTGAAAAACAGTATAAATAATACAGATGAATGATACAGACCAATAACATGAAACTAAAATTTTGTAGGCCTGTGGGTTGCTCCCGGTTCAGCCCGGTTCAGCCAGTCCGGTAGTGGTGATGATGTGACATCACCGAACCGGTTCTCTTTGACTGGGAGCTGGGCCCTCCCGCCCACCCCCGCTTTATTCCTACCTTTATTTCTTGTTTTTTAGCCCAGCTGATAGGCGTGGCAGAGTGGATTGCCGCACCTCAGCTGGACAGAAACCTAACGAACTTGTGTGGAGTGCAAGTTCGGCGCGTGTGCAAGCGAAGCAAGCACGTGCACGGCGATTGCGCGCAAAGAACATGCACGAAGAGAACAGGTGGTAACACCGGTTGGAACCCACCATGGACCATGGGGATGCTACAATGATCATAAATGTGAAAAACTATCATAAATCACCTTTTTCAGGGCTGTTGTAACTTTGAACAATCACTAAACAAATGGTGGTAAGTGAAGGATTATCTGCATCTCCATACATTCTCAGATGGAGCAATATCACAGTAATATCGTTATCACTTTTATTTGTCTTAAGATATAAAATATTTATATGGAGTAGCACACAAGCATTATATAAAGTTGCAATTAAGAATATCATTGTGATATGTGTAAAATGAAAACCTCACCTGCGCTTTAGACACTGAGGACTGAAGATCAGACATGACAGGATTTGCACAATAACTTCATGATCATTCTTTTTTGCACCCTCATCTCCTGTATGAATAGGAAATCTGACAGGTCATGTCTCAAAGAGGACATGTGAATTCTGAGCAGTTCTGTCGATGGGAAAAGACACATTTTCCTGTATATGAATATGTAACATAGTGGGGAGAGGAGAGGCATTGAATCTAACCTTGCCTCCAGTATGCTAACTTTCCATAGGCAGAGATGACTTTGATGCAGGCTACATTCAAAGAAATATATTTGGAGTAGTTCTCCAGTTTTAAAATATGCTTATGGGCACAAAATATATAAAGCTGCCTTGGCTAATTTCATTACAGTTACACCATGCAATTAAGTCAGATCAGATGCAAATTGCAATAGAGATAGAATAGAATAACAGAGTTGGAAGGGACCTTGGAAGTCTCCCAGTCCAACCTCCTGCCCAGGCAGGAAACTCTACACCACTTCAGACAAATGGTTATCCAACATCTTCTTAAAAACTTGCAGTGTTGGAGCATTCACAACTTCTGGAGGTAAGTTGTTCCACTGATTAATTGTTCTAACTGTCAGGAAATTTCTCCTTAGTTCTAAGTTGCTTCTCTCCTTGATTAGTTTCCACCCATTGCTTCTTGTCCTGCCCTCAGGTGCTTTGGAGAATAGCTTGACTCCCTCTTCTTTGTGGCAGCTCCAGAGATATTGGAACGCTGCTATCATGTCTCCCCTAGTCCTTCTTTTCATTAAACTAGACATACCCAGTTCCTGCAACTGTTCTTCATATGTTTTAGCCTCCAGTCCCCTAATCATCTTTGTTGTTCTTCTCTGCACTCTTTCTAGAGTCTCCACATCTTTTTTACATCGTGGTGACCAAAACTGAATGCAGTATTCCAAGTGTGGCCTAGAGAGATATATTCCACAAATATTTTCCCTGTCTTAATTTCTACTGTCCTTCTCTTCCAATGCACTAATACAACTCTGTGCATAGGAAGCATACGTGTAAACTAACTTAGAAATATATATTGATGTACATATTCATTGGCTCAGTGGCTAATTCTATTCCCTCCAACCACTAGGAGGCATGAAGAACAGGATCCAAAATAGGTGCTTTCTCGGTAGTCCCTCACACAAACACATTTGCTACTTTGAGGCAACAAGTGTGCTGGTCCCTTACTCAGCTTGTGAAGCAACAGAACAAAACCCCAAAAGATGGCAACTTTAGTCGAGAATGGGAAAGCAGGCATGCAAAAAACAAGCAAGCAAGCAAACAAACAAACAAAAGAAGCTAATATGTAAGGATAATAATCTCCAGGAATAACAATTCTTGCAGCTCCGCTGAAAATTCTGGCCTTTCTTTTAGGGCACAAAGCAACAGGTTAATATTTGGAAGTTTCAGTCAGTCAGATGACATGGCAGAGGAACCTATCAAAATAAGAACAGAGAAGGTTATGCTAAGAAAAGGAAAGACATAGTAACTATACACTGACCCACAACATGGGATTTATTAGGGCAACAAACTATCAGTTCATATCAGGTCTTGCTGCATTTTGAAGGAGATAAAACAGAAATATGTATCTGTGAATGCGAAATATTCTTGTCACTGGAGTAATAACTGTAGTCCATGTTCCTTAGTTAAGTATAACTGAAAAATAAGAAGCACAGGTCATCTAATGACAGATTTCAAGTTTAGTATTTGCATTTACTAAAGTGAATATAGAAAGATTTGTTGTTGTTGTTAGTTGCAAAGTCGTGGCCAATCCATCACGACCCCATGGACAACATTCCTCCAGGCCTTCCTGTCCTCTACCATCCTCTGGAGTCCATTGACGCTCACGCCTACTGCTTCAGTGACTCCATCCAGCCACCTCATTCTTTGCCGCCCCCTTCTTCTTTTGCCCGCAATCTTTCCCATCATTAGGCTCTTCTCCAGTGAGTCCTTCCTTCTCCCGAGGTGGCCAAAGTATTTGAATTTCATCTTCAGGATCTGGCTTTCTAAAGAGCAGTCAGGGTTGATCTCCTCTAGGACTGACCGGTTTGATCGCCTTGCAGTCCAAGGGACTCGCAGGAGTCTTCTCCAGCACCATAGTTCAAAGGCTTCAATTCTTTGGCACTCAGCCTTTCTTATGGTCCAACTTTCACAGCCATACATTGAAACTGGGACAGAAAGATAGTTTGGTGTATTAGTTTAAAGCAGTAGGGTATGAATCAGAAAATTATGAGTTCTAGTCCCAATTTAGCAGAAATCCAACTGGCTAGGTGCTCTCTCTCAGTCTTAGGAAAGCAACAACTCCCTCCCTCTCTCCCTCCCTCCCCCCCTCCCTCTCTTTCTCTCTCTCTCTCTCCCCATGTGTACTTAATATGCAACCTTTTGAATAGTAATTTTTATTAAATTACACACACATTAGTGTGTAATTTAATAAAATTTACTATTCTAAGTTGTACATTAAGTTTATGCATTAAAAAAAAGGATTATATGCATTTTCAGAAAGCTGCTTTATCTTATAACATAAAACAGAAGTTCTCTAACGTAGGCTTTGGAGTCACTCATAATCTCCACTGCCCTAATGAATTAATCAAGTCCTACTGAAGTCTAAGTGGGAGAAAGGGCAGCAGAATCCACAGAATTGTACTGTGCGTAGCCATTAATAAAAATGCAGATATCTCTCTGCATGCCCACCACATTCAATTACTAAAAATAGATATCATGTTTAAAATAATGGGAGGCTAGAACATTGGAAGTCATGTTACAACTTCCGGTATGAACTTTATTTCACTTGACTTAAAACTTAGTGGAATTTGTAGAAAATAAGTGATAAGTGAGGAAGCCCAGTACTTTGAGATATGTTAAACTAGGAATAGTAAAGTATACTGGTAGATTACAAGATACTTTGAGAATATTTTTATCAGTTTGTCTTCTGATATGTATTTTTGGATGATCTTGTATACAGCAGCCACCATGTGTAAATAAGTAAATTCTGCTCTTCATGGAAATTGTTTTTTTTATAACATATTCCTGAAAGTTTAAATATGCCCAAAATAGTTAATAACTTATTATTTAAAATGACTAAATAATGTGCACCAGGCAACGTATTTGAAAGTAGTATGATTTCATATTTTATATACCATTCATTGAGTCCACCGGCACAATTCTAAAACACAGATTTGTTTCTATATCCTGAAATTGGGTTTCAGTTAAGTTTTGTTTGAAATTTATATAAATATTCTTTAAAGAATATAATTATTTTTTAAAAAATAAAAGGATATATATGTGTACGCCATTGTAAACCTGAGAAAATAAAAAATGTAACACATTTTAGAAGAATTGGATAATATATAGCCTATTGTAAGTTTAAGGTTGAGTAATAGCACTTCTTTATGTTACAAGAAAATAGTACATAGATTGTAATTCATGGGCTGGCCATAGTCCAACAGAAAAGTTTTAAAAGTCCTGGAAAATATGAATAGTACTGATTTTTAAACAAGGAAAGGAAACATCCTGAAAAGTGTTGTTCATTGTTTTCATGATAGAAGTCGTTTTATGTTTTATAAAATATATATCTGGTTGGAATAAATAAAAGGATCCTGAACAATAGGGAAGAAGAATGAGTTAGCTTAATTCCGCTTTCTTTAAGATCTCATATTTAAAGTAATCTCTATGTCTGCTAGACATTTGTTTCTTATTAAAAGCTCTGAGACAACACATCGCGAGTTTTTGAAGTTTCTCTGACTTGATACGCAAATCGTATTACAAAAGTCTATCTGAACTTTTTTAACCAGAGACACTGCATAAATTAAGAGTCTGAAACATTGGGTTCTACTTTCAAACGTGCATCGTGTAATCTGAGTCAAACAATATTATGAAATGTAGTTGTTGCATGTGACGCAATGCATTGTTCTGTCATTAGGTGTGCTCTTGACAGGGAATCCTTGCCAAACCCAGCTTCTTCATGAATGTAAATGGCTCGTTTCAGATGTATCGAACTCATGAATGCAGAACAATCCCGTTGCAACATTTCTCTAGAAATAACAAAGAAAAACCAGAGGGATCTGGCAGCACGCACTGAAAATATATTTTTTTAATAAATTGTTTTTTCAAATTGCCACTAAGGAGCTGCAAAAACCTGTTGTAACACGTCATTTCATAGAGGCAGTTGCTGCCACAGGATTACATTACATGTTGAGGTACAGCTCACATACCCTATCTATAACACAAGCATGCATGAGATTGAGTGATGCATTTCAAAATGATACATGAAATGGCTACAATCGTGGAGTAACAAAAATCATTTCATGTCTCTATAAGCAAAACAATATAAGAATGAACAACAGATTTTTTTTTTTTCAAATTCCTTGTTTAAATTTGGTGCCTTAGTCTAGTTTATTTGCAAAATACCAGTTTCCCTCCCTGGGCATCTTGGAAGGAATGCGTGGGGAGAAATTGTGGGTTGGATTCATTCTATCTTCCCTATATTGATGGAAAAGAATGTAACTACTAGAGTTACAATATCCCGCATGGTTATAAACCATGCTTTGGTAGGATTTCTGATCATATGGAATAGAGCAAGCAGGAGATGGACAGTGTGTTCCTATTTCCCCCCCCCCCTCATCTTGCCTGAAAGGAGTAACTGTGTCATGGATACACCAGCATTGAACCTGCATTATAGGTGGCATTCCATAAATTGAACATATATCTACCCATTGCAGGAGTAATACTCCCATGATGGTACCGATAAAAGAGCAATGTGCTTTTATTTTTACACTCACATTCAGACCTACAGCTTAGGTGAATGTATTCTAGAATAACAACTTATGAATGTTTAAGTCAAATCAAATTAATAAATAGCAAACATTCTGGCTTGGCTGTCATATATAAGCATCAAGATTATGAATTATAATTGAAACGGGTGGCTATAAATACTAATAATAATAATAACCCAAAGCCTCTGGAACACAACTCGAATACCATCAGCATTGATAAAATCACCATCAGTCAATTGCAAAAGGCAGCTTTACTCAGAACAGCTTATGTACTTTAAAGACCATCAAACAACTACATCTCTTTATCCCAGGTCCTGGGAAGGACTTGATAGGTGGATAAAAATGCCAAATCCAGTCTAAACATCTGGCTGACTGTGTGATGAAACATAATAGTAATAATAGAGGCATTCATATTTGTGATCATTATGATGAATCCCCCACACTTGTCCATTTACTTAACTGCCAATTACTACATGGGCACTTCCACACACCCTCCCTTTCCACCCCTCAGTCCCTTACAAAAACTGGAACTTGATTTAGTCATCTTTCGTTGACTGCAGAGGGATTGGTTTCAAATCACAGAGATACCTCTGCTGATGAGCAGGAGAGTGCAAAGGCTGCAGCTCAGTCAGGCTCAACTCTCCTTTCTGGAATAAGGGGTGGGGGGGGACCTTATCCCCACTATACCCCAAAGGTTACAAAGCAAATTGCTCTGCCTCCCCACCTCTCAATGCAATGTATTTATGTAAGTCCGGTGGTTTATTTATTTAATTAATTAATTCAGTGTTGAGGCCGCCTGACTCTGGAAAGAAAGAAAGAAAGAAAGAAAGAAAGAAAGAAAGAAAGAAAGAAAAAAAGAAAGAAAAGAAAGAAAGAAAGAAAGAAAGAAAAGAAAGAAAGGAAAGAAGAAGGAAGGAAGGAAGGAAGGAAGGAAGGAAGGAAGGAAGGAAGGAAGGAAGGAAGGAAGGAAGAATATTTCAAAAAGAATGCAACTGACAGAAAGACCAATTATGTAACCCAAATATCGCAAAACCCAAAGGGACTTGGCCACCATGCTATTCCAAGGCCTGGGAGAACAGCCAAGTTTTTAACAGTTTACAGAAGGTCCATAAGGTGGGAGCAGCAGGACTCTCTTGGGGGATGCCATTTCAGAGGGCATGAGCTACCATTGAGAAAGTACTTTCCTGGGTTCCATATTGTTTAATTGACAGGACCCAGAGCTTTTCTCCTTCTACTTGACCTCACTGGGTGAGCAGAAATATACAGAGACAGATGGTCCTTCAGGCAGCCAGGCCCTCTACCATAAAGGCCTTTATAGATGGTAACCAGCATCTTGAGTTGCACCTAAAAGCCAACTGGTTTCTAGTGTAGCTTGTGAAGCAGTGAGGATACCAGAGCAAGTCAACAAATGCCTCCTGATTGTCTAAGAAAAGCACCTAACAGTTGTTAGACTGAAAAAAAAAAAGCCATAAAATAGTAAGTAAAAGCAATGAAATCTCCCAAAGAATTTCTTGCTTCCATGTTGCACGTTCTACAGGGAATTAAAAAGCCACTTTCACTTATGAAGGGGAAATGATAAAATGTCAGCCTTAGTGAAACTGAGCCTTGTCCCCTGTGATCCTTGTTAAACGTTCCCACAATGCTACTGTACATTGGCAAGATGGAGGGATTAAGTTCTATGCAAAGCAGGGAAAGGACCCAGAAATTCAGGCTGGCTTGAGCCCAGGAGCAGAGAGGTGAAGGCGAGATAATTCTCTCTGATTGAAAGGTAGATCATCCCAAGGGCTGCAGGTATGTAATAATTCCAAAAGGAGAAAAAAAATCAACTCAGTTCTTAAAACAGTAGAATAGAATTAAACAATAGAATCCCTTATGCCACCAGGCTTGAAATTTTGGGCTTGGACAATCTGGAACTGCGCCGCCTGAGGTCTGACCTAAGCATAGTACACAAAATTGTCTGCAACAATGTCTTACCTGTCAATGATTTCTTCAGCTTCAACCTCAATAATACACAGGCAAACAATTGATACAAACTCAAGGTAAACCACTCCAAACTCGATCACAGAAAATACGATTTCAGCAACAGAGTGGTTAATACCTGGAATGCTTACCGGACTCCATTGTTACATCCTCAAACCCTCACAGCTTCAACCTTAAACTATCTACCGTGGACCTCACCCCGTTCCTAAGAGGTCCGTAATGGGGGTGTGCATAAGCACACCAGCGTGCCTACTGTCCCTGTCCTACTGTCCCCATTTTAAAAGGTAAAGATTCCTCTGCACATGTGTGCTAGTCTGGCTCTAGGGGCAGTGGTCATCTCCGTTTCAAAGCCGAAGAGCCAGCGCTGTCCAAAGATGTCTCCGTGGTCATGTGGCCGCCATTACTAAACACCAAAG